AGCCGGACAAGTACTAAGGAAGGGAGCCCACTGGCAGACTCATAGAACATGGCTGGAGGAACAGGCTTGAATGCTCCGTTTCTACCACGGAAGGGTAATTCCCCGAGACCGTCGGAGTCTCAAGACCACCGAAGCCCCGTCCCGTCTCCGAACCCGCAGACGGTAAGAGCTGGATGCAGGGTGGAAAGGGGGGACCAGACATGACCAACAGGGGGAAAAACAAGGGGGCACGGAAGGAAACAAAAACCAAAGCAACCAAAACGGGGGCAGCATCGGGGCTTCCGGGGAGCAAACTACCTAGCGCGTTGCCACCGAAACGTAACATGCAATGCCCGTGCTGCCTGTACCCCGCATAGCCTGCATAAGACTGGGTAACCAAGTCACAAACAAGCAACAAAACTTGTAGGACTCCGGGCTGAAAGTGCCACCAACCCCACAGGCGACAGAGGAACCCTCGAACTCCCACAAAGTGAGGGGGGGGGGGACTCCGGGGTCACATCCATCGGACCCACACATCCCCGTGGGGATTCCCAGGGTCCTAAGATGGGTCCTGAGACGTTAGTTCAGGGCATCCCTGAACTAACGCTCAGGGATGCCCAGGCAGGGTACTGTTAACCGGCGCCCAAGTCTACCAAACAACCTTCTAAGAACTAAACCCCCGGGACGTGTACACTCACAAGGATCTAGCAGGGGAAACCACCGGAAGAAGGAAGAGTACTCAGTACACAGGGGGCAAGAACCAAGGCAGACCCCCCACCAGGCAGACAAACAAAAAGAAAAAGAAAACCCCGCAAGAAGACAGCGTACCCAGGCTGAACAGAGCCGGCCGCTATGACTGGTGAAAACAAGCTGCTCAGTACCCTGTGCCCCTACCAGTGCAAACTGTCCCTCACCCTAAGGCAAACAAGGGAGACAGAACACCCTAGAACACAAAGGGCGGCCGAAAACCAAGCAGTAAATGGCCTAGCAGAGGCAGAACCCAAGGAACTTGGGGAAGGTGGCCTCAAGCCCCAAGGGCAGTACTTATTGGGCAGCTAGGGAAGAAACCATACTTGCATGCAGCCTGAGCACTGGTGAATGACTCCCAGCTCACGCACCACCTAGAAGACAGTCACCACACACTAGGTACAGTGCTGAAACAATCACTGGAGCCGGAGCACACGAATGTTGCCTATAGCAGCAGCCGCAGAACTGAAGGGTGGATAGCCGGGCGGGGGGTCTGGGGCTCCCCCCTCCCCCTCCCAGGGACGGGGGAGCTGCGCAAACAGCGGTGCGACGACGTGTGACGTCATGCTCGTTTGTTCGTTTCTTTTTGAGAGTTCTATCCACTTGTTTGGCTTTTGGAAGCAATTTTCACCAGAATAGGGGTTTGTTTTGGGACGCTTACCTTTCTGGGTGCCTGATCCAGTCGATGGCAGACATAGAATGCTTCCAACTACACGGGGGTTTCTATAGGCCATTGCTCCCCATGCCCCTCTGCGAGGGCCAGGTTCTGGCTTGTGGTCTCTGGTAGGCTCACAGAACTCCATACACATGACTGATGCCAAAGTCTGACATTTGCATATCAGCCTGGATAAGCTCCAGGGAGCCGAAGGGGCTCCCCCCAGGAAATTATCCAACCCATGCCCTATTCAAAAGTAAAACCAAAAAGCACCTAATTTCATCCTCATAGTCTCCTACTATGTGCTTCAAACTCACACTGTTTCATGTACTACCCACTTCACCAATATAGACAAATACCAATATAAACTAAGTGACTGTTTTCTAAGAGAAATTCCGGATCAGCCGGGCTGTGGTGGGTATGTGGCCCTGCGGGCCGCTCCAAGCAGCAGCCTGGTGGACCAAACTCTCACAAGTCGAGCCTGGCCTCGGGCCGGGCTTGGGGAGTAGAAGAACTCCCAGAACCCCATCAAGCAGGTATCAAGCAGACATATACTATATCCTTATCAGTGTAATCACTTCTGTCAACTCATATTGTAGTTATTTGTTGATATAAAACCTTGCTACAATGTACCTTTTCATCTTACCTGATACGTTAAATTAAGGACTTGCCCAAAACACTATGGGTGTTAATGGCTTTGCATGAATGTAAAAATACCAATCTTATATAATCTCACCAATCCATTGTACCTTCTTGCAAATAAATTATTATTATTATTATTATAATATGTACTGGTTATACGTGATGCTGTAATATGTAGTTAGGCATGAAAGTGACCGGGTGCTACATGATGCTGTAATATGTGATTTGGGATGAATGTGTGCTGGTTCTAAGTGATGCATGCTATAGTATGTAGTGTGGAGTGAATATGTGCTGGTTCCAAGTGATGCTATAGTATGTAGTGTGGAGTGGGTGCCGGTTCTAAGTGATGCTTTAGTATGTAGTGTAGTGTGTGTGTGTAATTACCTAAGAGTAATTACAGGATGAGAGCTAAGCTCGTGGTGTCCCGTCTACCGAGCACTCTTTGTCATATAACGCTTTGAAACTACTGACGGTTTTGGCCTCCACCATCTTCTCACTTAACTTGTTCCAACCATCTACCACTCTGTTTGCGAAAGTGAATTTTCTTATATTTCTTCGGCATCTCTGTTTAATTAGTTTAAATCTATGACCTTTTGTTCTTGAAGTTCCAGGTCTCGGGAAATCTTCCCTGTTGATTTTATCAATTCCTGTTACTATTTTGTATGTAGTGATCATATCACCTCTTTTTCTTCTGTCTTCTAGTTTTGCCATATATAATACCTCTATCCTCCCCTCGTAGCTCTTGTCCTTCAGTTCTGGGAGCCACTTAGTAGCATGTCTTTGCACCTTTTCCAGTTTGTTGATGTGCTTCTTATGATATCACCACACAATCGCTTCATATTCTAGCATGGCCTAACAAAAGTCGTGAACAATTTCTTTAGTATTTTGCCATCCATGTATTTAAAAGCAATTCTAAAGTTAATAAGCATGGCATAAGCTCCTCACACAACATTCTTTATGTGGTCCTCAGGAGATAATTTTCTATCTAGAGCCACTCCTATATCTCTTTATCAGAATTCTTTAAAGATTTCTCACATAATTTATAGGTTGTGTGGGGGGTCTATGTTCACCTATTCCATATTCCATAACATGGCATTTATTCACATTAAATTCCATTTGCCATGTGGTGTTCCATATACTGGTTTTGTCCAGGTCTTCTTGAAGGGCATGACAATCATCTAAGTTTCTTATCATTCCTATTATCTTAGCATCATCAGAAAACATGTTCATATAATTCTGTATACCAACTGGTAGATCATTTATGTAGATAATGAACATCACCGGTGCAAGAACTGAACCCTGTGGTACTCCACTTGTGACATTTCTCCACTCCGATACATTGCCGCTGATTACTGCTCTTTATTTTTCTATCAGTCAGAAAATTTTTCATCCATGTTAGAAGCTTACCTGTCACCCCTCCAATATTTTCCAGTTTCCAGAACGACCTCTTATGTGGAACTCTGTCGAAAGCCTTTTTTTAGGTCCAGATAGATGCAGTCAACCCAACCATCTCTTTCCTGTAAAATTGTGTGTGTGTAATTACCTAAGTGTTGTTACAGGATGAGAGCTACACTCGTGGTGTCCCGTCTCCCCAGCACTCTTTGTCATATAATGCTTTGAAATTACTGACGGTTTTGGTCTCCACCACCTTCTCACTTAACTTGTTCCAACCATCTACCACTCTGTTTACAAAAGTGAATTTTCGTATATTTCTCCGGCAGCTTTGTTTCGTTAGTTTAAATCTATGACCTCTTGTTCTTGAAGTTCCAGGTCTCAGGAATTCTTCCCTATCAATTTTATCGATTCCTGTTACTATTTTGAACGTAGTGATCATATCACCTCTTTTTCTTCTATCTTCTAGTTTTTGCATATTTAATGCCTCTAACCTCTCCTCGTAGCTCTTGTCCTTCAGTTCTGGGAGCCACTTAATGGCATGTCGTTGCACCTTTTCCAGTTTGTTGATGTGCTTCTTAAGATATGGGCACCATACAACCGCTGCATATTCCAGCTTTGGTCTAATAAAAGTCATGAACAATTTCTTTAGTATTTCTCCATCTATGTATTTAAAAGCAATTCTGAGGTTAAAAAGTGTAGCATAGGCTCCTCGCACAATGTTCTTAATATGGTCCTCAGGTGACAGTTTTCTATCTAGAACCACCCCTAGATCCCTTTCTTTGTCAGAATTCTTTAAAGATTTCTCACATAATTTATAGGTTGTGTGGGGTCTATGTTCTCTAATTCCACATTCCATAACATGGCATTTATTCACATAAATTCCATTTGCCAAGTGTTGCTTGCTCCATTTACTTATTTTGTCCAGGTCTTCTTGAAGGGCATGGCAATCATCTAGGTTTCTTATCCTTCCTATTATCTTAGCATCATCAGCAAACATGTTCATGTAATTCTGTATTCCCACTGGTAGAGTTGTGTGTGTGTGTATGTGTGTTGGCCCAACATCATGATGTAGATTGATAAAGATTAAGCCACCCAAGAGGTGGCACGGGCATGAATAGCCCATAAGTGGTGGCCCTTTTGAGCCATTACCAGTATCAAGAGATGATACTGGAGATCTGTGGAGGCACGACTGCACCCTGCGTGACGGGAGATGTCTCCCAGACCATATGGTGACCAAATGGTGCATGATGTAGCATGTAGTGTGGCAGATAAGGAGAAAGAATGGGAGGTCTATTTTTCAGGTATGTATTATTATTCTCTTATTTGCTCTGATATTCCTAGAAGGATAATGCTTCCCCAGCCCATGAAAATGGGAAAAAGATTAACTGTTAAAATGCAAGATTAACAGGATACAGCAGAGGTGAGTGTGTGCAGCTGTTTCTGATCTTTATGTTGTCTTTACCATGAACTACATGCTGACACAGTTGTAGGGGGTAGTGTTAAGTTTGATTTCTCTCTTAATTTCAAGGGCCACAAGTTTCTCCGAAGTATTACATAAACAAATTTGATTACTAATACTAACCAAGGAAGGCATAATTGCCAGGGTGTAATTCTGTCAGTTGTTTCATTCTGTCAGTAGGCCTTCTGCAGGTGGGGGTAGACCCAATACCCACAGTAGAGCATGTAACTCCTCGCTCCTTCACACGGTCCACAAACTTCAGCAAACGTTCTGAGATTTGTCACTTTAATCAATTAAATGTTTTATAATTTTCCTATAATTCAATGAATTTGATTCAAGCCATTATTGTGTACTATTTTAATCATTATCAAAGAATATTTTAACAAATTTGAATACCTCTATGAGCCACCCACCTACAGTTTCACCTTGGACCTGAAGTACCTCGTTGGCAGTGCAGGCATGGTACGAGTTGCCACAGTGAACATACACTCCAGCGAAGATGATGTTTGGTGAATTTTGGAGCAACACTGTCAAGTCTACACCAGCTTCATCTTCCCACCACACTCCAGCTAAAGTAAAAAAAAAATTTACAAACTATCTGCAACACAGCACTTTAGGTGCTACTTATAACTGCTATTAAAATACCAGCGCTGAATGTAATGAAACACTATTTTCTGGGTGAGTCCCGGAGGCTCCCCAGAGCTATCCAAGCTGAATGGATATGTATAACTTTCTGGCATCAGTCAAGGTCCTTTGACTGATGCCTACTAGGGACCACAAGCCAGAACCTGACCCTCTCAGAGAGACACGAGTAGCAATGGCCTATAGAACCCCCCCCCCCCCCCCTTGTGGTTGGGAGCATTCTATGTCTGCCATCGACTGGGATAGGCACCCAAAACAAACCCCTATTCTGGTGAAAATATTGCTACCGAAAGCCAAACAAGTGGACAGAACTCCCCAAACAAAATTAGCAAAGTAGCATGACATCATCATGTTGCCGTGTCGCAGTCTGTGCAACCAAACCCTCCCCCTCCTCGGGAGAGGGAAGGGGGAGCCCCAGACCCTCCGTGCCGGTGATCCAACCAGCAGTTCTTAGGCTGGATGTCAAAATATACAAAAAACACTGCCGACCAGAGGGAGGGAGGGATGCCGGACAGCCTCCGACACTCGTCCAGAAAATGGCGTTTCATTACATTCAACGCAGGTTTTCTGGGAGGAGCCTCATCGGCTTCCCGGAGATACCTCACCAAAGATAAGGGAAAAGAGGGAAGGATCCGGGAGCCGGATGCCGCTCGTTTGTCCGGGAAGCGAACCCGGACAAACCAAAATGCGTCCACTGCCCCAGAGAGCAAGACGCGCAGAGAACAGCAAAGAGCCGCAACCAGATACAACACAAGAATCACCCCCAGCTTGATTAAGCAAGCAGCAACCCAAGGACCCCACCGGAAAACAACAGACCCAAACATCACCCGAAATGAGGGAGATTGCAGCAAACGAACAACCTACTACTAGACCAACTGAGCAGAAAAACACGGACGCCGAAGGAGAGCCAGAAACACCCCGACCCGACCCCCAGAGGTTAACGCCAACAGGAAAAGGAGACCTGAAAAAAAAACTGAAGAGGTCACGACTAACCGAGGAGAAGAAAAAAAATAGACCACCCTGGGCTAATGACCAGGATGGCATCAGATGCGCACGAGCAGGCCAGAGGTGAAACAACGCACTAGACAACAAGCAGAACGGAGCAGAAGGAACAGCAACACCGAAAGCAAGCAGGAGTGGCCCCGCCCGCAACGCCCGATACGAGGCGACAGTAAGAGGCACCAGATGACGGACCTGGAACAACCTCGTAGGGAAGGAAAAGACATCCCTATCAGAGATCAAAGTACCCTTCACAGTGATAGGAAACCCGGAAGGGACGCCAGGAAAAACTCCCGCCAAGATGAAGCACGCAGGTGGGAGACCAACAACGAACCCACCAGTGCCCACACAAGCAACGAGAAAAAAAAAAAAAAAAAAAAAAAAAAAACAGACGTGAAGTCTCTAGGGGGAAGAACGAACCACCCTCCATCACTTTCTCTGTTTGCTGTGGGTGGTATGCCGGGCTTTTGGACACTATATGCATACACTCCTGTAGGGAATTCTATTGCGAACACAATGATACCAAAAAGAAAGACCTAGGGCAAAAATTGAGATGTCCAAAGTGAAGAGAGTGTACACATTTTATTACTCTTACGGGCTCCCAGGTAACACGCTCTCAGTTTCTCACTTTCTCGCCAGGCTTTTGGGCTTTATATGCATTTAGTCCAGTAGAGAATTCTATTGCAACACATTGATACCAAATTGAAAAACCTAGGACGAGAATTGAGATGACAAAATTGAAAAGAGTATAAACTTTTCAGTATTACCACCCTCTCTAATGTAATAAGAGGCGCCTTGGGGTGGCACAGCGCTTTCCTTCTGGTCCACTTTCATCACGTCGGCGGGTGGAGCGCACTGCGTTTTTTTTACATTATATGCATATATTCCTGTTGGAAATTCTATTGCAAACACATTGATACCAAAATGAAAGAAATAGAATGAGAATTGAGGTAAACAAAGTGAAAAGAGTGTACACATTTTATTGCTCTTGTGCGCTCCCGGGTAACTCATTCGCACTTTCTCTGTATGCTGTGGGTGTAAGCCAGGCTTTTGGAGTTTATATGCATTTAGTCCTGTAGAGAATTCTATTGCGAACACATTGATACCAAATCGAATATCTTAGGACGATAATTGAGGTGACAAAGTTGAAAAGAGTATACACTTTTCAGAATTACGGTGCTCTCCCCCGCGCTTCTGCGGAACGCCCAAACCCACCTGAGGTAGTGTGGCGCTCACAGTCCTAAAGCCCGAAAGTGTTAAGACTACCAAGATTACTTGGGACCCAAGAACTGAGGTTATCACACCTCATTCATATGTAGGATCCACATATGAATGAAGTGTGGATCCATATGTGGTGAATTTTGGATCCACACTTCCAAAATTCCAATCCACACAACATTATTATTTATTGTATTAAAATGCTGTTCAGTTTCATATTGGTTAAACAAATTCTGACAGTGAACTGTCTACTAAACTATTGTACATTTAAAAAAAAACCAGCGTTGAATGTAATGAAACGCCATTTTCTGGGTGAGTCCCGGAGGCTCCCCGGAGCTATCCCAGGCTGATATGCTAATGTCAGACTTTGGCATCAGTCATGTGTATGGAGTTCTTAGGCCTACCGGGGACCACGGCCAGAACCGGGCCCCCTCAGAGAGGCAAGGGGAGCAATGGCCTATAGAAGCCCCCCGTGTTAGTGGAAGCATTCTATGTCTGCCATCGACCGGAACAGGCACCCAGAAAGGTAAGCGCCCCAAAACAAACCCCTATTCTGGTTAAAATTGCTACCTAAAACCGAACTAGTGGATAGAACTCCCCAACCGAAAACAAGCAAACTAGTGTGACGTCACACACTGCCGCGCCGCTGTCTGCGCAGCTCCCCCCTCCCCGGGAGGGGGAAGGGGGAGCCCCAGACCCCCCGCGCCGGCTACCCACACCTCAGTTCTTGAGGCTGGATGTCAAAAACGCGAAAAACCGCCGACCGGAGGGAGGGAGGGATGCCGGGGAGCCTCCGGGACTCACCCAGAAAATGGCGTTTCATTACATTCAACGCTGGTTTTCTGGGGGGAGCCCCGTCGGCTCCCCGGAGCTAACTACCCACAGACAGAAAAAGAGGGACTTACCCGGGAGGCGGTCGTCGCTCACCCCTCAACTCGAAGCCGAGACAACTGGCTGCAACCGCCGATCACAAAACATGATGCACCCCCGGCCAGACCAACCAAGCATCAACCACCCATGGACCCCTCCGGAACGCAGCAGTCTCATTCTTCGCCAGAAAAGAAGGAGACGGCTGCAAACGAACAAAACTATCACCACGACCAAAAGAGCAGAAACCCCTGCGCCGGAGGAGAGCATGAAGCTCCCCTGCCCGACCCCCAGAGGCCAAAGCCAACAAGAAAAGTGCCTTGGAAAAACAATCCTGGACCGAAGGGGCCACAACGAAACGAGGAGATGAAAGGAAAGCGAGCACTCTGTCCAAAGACCAGGACGGCTCAGGCGACGCATGAGCAGGCCGGAGGTGAAACAATGCACGAGACAGCTTGCGAAACGGCGCAGACGTAACATCGATACCGAAAGCAAGCTGAAGCGGCTCCGCCAGCGCCGCACGATACGAAGCGACAGTGTTAGGCATAAGATGACGGTCCTGAAACAACCACGAGAGGAAGGACAAGACCACCCGAACAGACAAGGAGCTAACACGACGAAGACGCAAAAAGAAATGGAAGGACCGCCAGGAAAACTGCATACTGCCGCCGAGAAGAAGCCCTCAGGTGGGACACCAACAAGGAGGCCACCTGAACACCATAGAGATGATGATAGACTCGAGTCAAAAAAACCATACGCGAAGACTCGAGGAGAAGATCGAACCAGCTACGTGACGTACCGGCCCGATCTGCTGAAAGAGGCGGAGCCGCGGGAAAAACCCTCGGGTTCGGACACCGAGCAACCAGCGCCTGAAACCAAGGCTGGGCCGGCCACCAATGGGCCAGAAGGACAACTCTCCCCCGGTAAGTCTCTAAGCGAGTCAGGACCTGGAGCAACAGCCGAACCGGGGGAAAGAGATACAGGAACCCCCACCTCGTCCAGTCGAGCCGAAAGGCATCGACCCCGACGGCCTCGCAATCGGGGAAGGGCGCCGCATAAACGGGAAGACGCCGCGACCACGCCGACGCGAAGAGGTCCACCTCGGGGCGCCCGAACGTCTGGCAAAGCCAAAGGAAGGACTCGTCGTCGACCGTCCACTCCGTGGAGAGAGGAACGAAGCGAGACAGGGCGTCGGCCAAGACGTTGGACACGCCCCGTACGTGAACCGCCAGGAGAGCCAAACCCCGAGAACTCAGCAGACGAGTCACCCGAAGCGACCAACCCCAAAGAGACAAGGACCGCATCGAACCCCCGCGGTTCAGGCAATGAACCACCGGAGAGCAGTCCGAATGGAGCCGAATCGTCGATCCGCGGGCCACCCGAATCCTCCCCAGAGCAAACCACACTGCCGCGAACTCCCGCACCGTACTGTGAGCTCGACGGAAGGACGGATCCCAACGCCCCTGGCCGGCCTGGTGAGCACTGGTCACAAAACCCCAGCCGAGACGACGCATCCGAGTACACCTCGAGCGAGGGCTCGGGTAGGCGCCAAGGCACTGAACCCCGAAAAACCCGAAGAGGAAACCGGTGACGCAGCAACCGACGCAAGTCCCCCGGGGGTCGAACTCTGCGATCGTGAGAGAGGCGGAAGGGGGAACCCCGAAGGAACCAGAACAGCCGTCGAAGCCAAACCCGACCCGGCGGGTAGACCACCATCGCGAAGTTCAGGCTCCCGCACAGCCCCTCGAGCAACCGCCGGGTGACCCGAGGGCCCTCCAGAAACAGACGAAGGCGGGACCGCAGCCGCAGGAGAGACTCCGGAGGGAGAGACAAGGAGGCGGTT